GTATTCTGTATTTCTCTATTTCATTTTCACAACCGTGATATTTGTGCCGTGTGGCGGCTGTAAAATGTATCCCCGTACATTTAATCAATGATGTTGTATTTTAGATCCTTGAAGATCGTTCAGCACGACATTATTGTTGTGTATACATGTTATGTGGTACTTTAAGTTTCTTCTATTTGGCCTTTTTCAACTTGGGTGGTTCCAGTATTCCTACCTGAATACTGTATAATCACCCTTAGGATATGTTGCCTGCTTTTTGACGTCATACATGTGATATGCAGGCTTCATAACCTCAAATCCCCTTTCTTAATTCCATTTTATTTAGTTCCGCCCATTGTTTTCTCGTTTAGGGCACAAGCATTCTTTTACTTGGGGACCATACGCCGCTTTTCACGGAATGGCACTACTGTGTCATATTTAAAGGTTCTATGATAACCGCCGTATGAACACATCTGCGGATGTTACTAAATTCAAAATTTCACCATTTTCGTGTTAATTGTTAAATTTAACTTAAGCCGGTGCTAGGGGGCGTGAACGGTAATTTGCACTTTCCATTACCGTCCATGAACAGGCTCAATCAAACCGAATTTGGTTTTAATGTTTTTTTCTGATTGCTATAAAAGAGTACACCGTCGCTAACTCTAGGTACATCAATGATACAGCATATGGTATTTGTAGCACAATATTCGGTGAATATGGAAATGTGGATGGTTGATAACAATAGTGAATATTTTTGATATATTCTACATATTGTATCTCAAAATGATTACAACACACATACGCTAAAGCCAATCATTCAGATGTAAATACTTGAAATCGAACCATTATCATTTAGGTTTCCTCTCTTTTTTCTTGTAATACATGTGGCTCTTCATGAACTTACTGCACTTCACGAACATGCAGCACTCCATGGACTTGCTGCAGTGTTATTCTTGCTGCAGTATTGAACTTGCAATTCAGCCCAGATTTTCTGCGGTCCAGGACTTGGTGCACAATTTTTACCAAAACTTAAAAGTTGCTGCGCTCTTTGGATTCTCTACACTTCTCGGAAATGGGCTATGCTAGGACTTGCTTCCTTTCTGGGAAGCGAAATGCTAAAACAAATCTCTTAAGTGAAACCAAAAATCAAAACATGATAGTGATGATAATAATGATAATGGCATGTATAATAAAAGAACTCTAGCACCATTCTAGAAAAATCATCTACCTCTCTTTCCAAGGACGTAATTATTTGCAAAGACAAGGAAAATGATAATTAGAAATAATTAAAATGAATTACAGTGATATATCCCTGCGTATAAAAAATATTAGCTAGAAAGAACTTGCAGATAAAAGTATAACTTTATATATAATACAATGTTTTATTTTTCGAATTAGGCTAAGTGTTTAAGTTAATCTGAAAGCAAACACTGCATTTTTTTAAACTCGCCAAAAATACATGTAAACGTAAATTATATATATTCTCACTTTTTTGTTTTTGTATTATTATTAGAATTATTATCATTTTTAACTTTATTCTCTTCTTAAAAATAACCTAGCTAAGTTAAGAAATAACATAATAAATATATCCAAATATGTGTATTCATTTTAAAAACATATTGATGGAATGGTGTGTGTGTTTAAGTGCCGAATTTTCCTGGAACATGTTCTACGTTCGATGGTGGTGAATGAGACGACAATACTGCCAAGACATCAGCTTTCCGATAAACGATAACAAAAACGACCCTTATTAGCGCCATCCTCCAGAGTTGGTCACGACAGGTGAAGGAATCATCTCTGGTACTTGAGATGACTTGACCTTGACCTGCCTTGTGTCTTCTCCGCGACGCCTCAGGAAGGATTTGAAGAAAAAAATGGAATGGATTTTCCAGTGCTTCTCTTAATTGTCAGCACAATATATCAACATCATTTGTTTACACATATATCTCAACACGTGTTACCAAAACAAAACAAATGTTTATTCCTTAATGTATTTTTAGTTTCAAAATAGCCATTTTATTGCTATCCACAAAGGTTCATTATAAAAATGTGACACTTAAATCATGTTTTTTGAAAGATTGATTCATTGTAAGCTTTATTGCTGGGCGGAAAAAAAGGGGAGAGCCGAAAATAACCAGAAATTTTAACGTTGTTGTTCAGTAGTTACATGTACAAACCTTATTAGATATATTTGTTTTTCTTTCTTTTTTTCGTTTGCAAAGCTATTCAGATCCGCAAACTGTATGTTTAATGTTAGACGATTTCTAAAACAGCATTTATCGATTACATCTGGTGATGTTTAGGCTTCATTTAACGTCTTCTCTTTATATATTCAGACAAGCGTTCCGCTTTTTGCAAAGACATTAATCAAACAAACTAATTTTCAAATGTGTCGTTATGCGTAGAAGCTTCAATTTGGATTACATATGTACATATTTATTTTACTTTGATTTTATTAGCGAAATATTATTAAAGTCTAAGCAATGTTATTGTCAGAGCATTTCAAATCATGTTTGTAAGCAGCATTAGACAATAAAACAACCACTTACAAACTTTGAACTCTCATTGTAAAAACTGTGTATTAATTCTCAAGAATTTCCAACAATTATGCATAACGAAGTGTTTGTTAAAAAGCCTATATACTGTGCACTCAAACGTTTTAAAGATAATAAAAAAATAATTATATTGTTGTTAATTTAGAAATTGACCTTTATCGGACAGAAAGAAATGCTTACTACATTTTTTTCAAACCGTAAAATAGTGTTCTGTAGTGTACATTTAGATTGACTTTGAAAGTCTTGTAGATTTTTTATGTCCAGGTATTTCAAATAGTATCTTTACATTAAGGTAAGACCTGGGTAATACATTTCCGGTTAATTCGTGTTATTTCGACATTTACCTTCATTTTCCGGTATATATCGGACTCTTCCGTTATTCCGAACATTGTTCCCTGCATTGGAATTAAAAATTCAATCGAGCACCGGGAACTACACTGTTACATCCTGGCCTTTCAAAATGGCGTTGCGAGATACAAAAGGCCGGTTCACAGCGAAGAAATAACAAAGAACAAGTGCAAAAGATCACGATCAACTTGTAATGATCATAATTATCATACGGAAGAACGTTCTTCATTAGATTCGAGTTTAACTAAGTGCAGACAAAGTGATACAAACGTGAAGTTGCCTGGAAATGTTGACAGAGATGGGTGGAGAGTTGGACGGCGGATTGTGGAGCTGGGCGTTCTCTTAGATAAATTAGAATACTGTGTGAAATGTAAGCTAGGACCAGTAGCCTTAACAAAATATTCTCTTGTTGGTGAGTTTAGGAAAGGGTTATCGGGTTTTCTTTACGTCAGATGCAGCAACATGGACTGTGAACATGTGAATGTTGTCCCATATGGCAAGACACATAGATTGAAAGATAGAGGCATACCTTGCTTCACAGCAAATACAAAGCTTGGTGTCGGTAAGTTTATCATTATCTTCTGGTTTTCATCCTAGAATTAGGACGTTTTATATATAAATAAATGAGTAACAAAATTCAGCAATCTGGTCAAAAATATTTGCTGTACCAGTATAGTCCCAACTTCTTATATTGTTTTATACATTGTATCATTTAATTTTTAGATCTCAAGATTTTGCGGTCAGAGCTCTAACTGACAGGGAAGGGTACCTGAGGTCTTCCTCCACCAGTGAAGCTGGAACGTCGCGATATGACCTATATACTCCATTCCTATGATAGCAAGGGTTCTATGATATCAAGGTATTTAAATTTTCTGTGACTGCTAGTAAAAGCGACACATGATGATGCTAATATTTGTGAAACTTGCACACTAGATTCATTTACATCTGCAAATAAATTTAATTTGGTGAATAATGAATGTATTCGTGGCAAGAAAACTATTTTTAAAACCTTCATATTTGACTACCATTTTCCATAATGGTTTTTACACAGTCAATTAAAATATGGTATAAACACATATACTGACATACAGTCTGTTCATATAGATTTAATTTTATAGCAAGTTAACTGTTGGATGTTTCTCACAACTTAACTTGAAAGTTTTGACCCATCTATCCTTCCATACTTGCTTTTTTGAGGATGACCTTGATACCGTAGTAACCTCCTCTGAAATTACCCAAATTGGCAGACATTGAAAATATTCTAAAAAATGTCATTTTTTTTTTAAATAATTTTAACAGTTCTGGAAAAGGTTCAATTATAAGAGGGAAGAAAAATCTCATTCATTTATGATATTTATATTTAAATATTTTCCCATAAACGTTAAGTACCGTGATATCATAGAACCCCGGGCTACTGTGTCGATGTGACATAAAACTCAAAACAAACAAATCTAACTGACAGACATTTACATTAATAACTAGGTCAACGTCATTCATTAGAAACTACTTGTTATGCTATTATTTTATTTATTGGTAAACAGTAAGTAAATTGATACAGTGGGGTCCACGGCTAGTATTTATTTTTATACAAGCTATCAAAACTGTTTAGTAAAAAGTTTAATATTTTCCCAAAAAATTAACATGAAAAACAAAAGATTAATTCCAGTTTTTCTCTTTTAATTTAGCCATGATAGATAGCATTGGTGGTTCCGGGAAAGTGAATAACATGCTCTCCAGCCTAAACATTGCCCCAGTAAATAGAAATAGTTTGCAGGATATGGAAAGGCGTGCTTGAAGATTGGTCGAGTCTGTTGCCAAGCAGTCTAGATACAGCTGCCAAAAGCACATTTCAGAAGGAAATGAGGTAACCTAGATTGTGTATTTATTAATTTGTATAATTTTCTCTCACTAACATATTATCCAAACATTTGATGTAAAACTGCAATTGTCAAAACATTTCTTGAACATCTTATGGAAAACAATTCTTTTTAATTTATGTTAAAGTTATTGAGGCATCTCTTGACATTGTGCTTTTGTAATTTTTTTCATAGAACCCCCCAAAAATATATATATTCATATACACAAACAACAATATATACACACTGACAGTTTCGAATATATTTTTAAAGTGAAATTTCCCAAAAAGAATCCATAGAGGCAGAAGCTAGCATGGATGGTCTCATAGAAGATCTGGGTGTGGCACCATTACCAGATGCATCACCAGCAACCAAGTAAGTTAACTGTTTAACAGTTTTTATTGTAACATTGAATGGAAAGTTTCATGTATTTTGTATGTTATGTATATTATATATCATAAGCTGTTTTACAGGGCTTGTCCTGGTTTTAATAGAATAATAGACAAATTGTTTTTCAAGCGAAAAATAATTTCCAACAATTTTGCGTGACGGTAACACCAAAATGTAATGTTGTTTTAACATAAGGAACTTGAAATACATGAATATTGTTAACATAAGTTTTCCTGGTTCAATATATTTTTTCATTTATGTCATCAGCAAAATTTTTATAATAAAAATATATAATTGTATATATCATTGCGTTTGTATTGTTGTGGAGAAAATATGAGCTTAAGTTAAAGATATGTACATATTCGAATTGACATTTATCCGAAAAACACTACACTTTCGGCTCTCAAAATTTGCTGATGTTTAGGCCATAATATCAATTTTAAATTAAAATATTTCAGTTACATATACTTTTTTAATCCAATGAATAATGTAGATATTTCTAACAGTTTTAGAATATTTCAGGTCTGTCTTACAAACTGCATTTGTATCAACAAGTAATGAAACAGAGTGCCCTGAAAAGGCATCTCCCTCACCACCAAGACAGCATAAAAGAAAGTGTAAACTGTTTGACCATAACACATGTAGAAAAACAGCTATCAAAAAGAACCTCCTCTCCACATTCAAGCCTAAGAGTCGGTATGGTATGTCCTGCTCTGCTGATACAGCTTGGCAAAAGCGTGGCTTTGACAGCCTTACATGTAAGCTGGGTTTTTTTGTTAGTTTTGTGACTTTTATTGCTTCTTCTAAGAAATATCACCCTGTTAAATATCACTTATTTTATAAATTAATTGTGACTTATCTTACCAAATTTAGCACACAATGAATGAATTAGGAGTAAGTTTGTTGGTTCTAGATGATAATTATAATTTTAGAAATTAATATATCTGACTTTGTTTAAAAATAAATACTTAACAAGTTGTAATGATGAATCAGGGAAAGTTCTCTCTTACACCCAAAATGATGTGTTATGTTACAGCATCCGATACCCAACTGTCTGCCTGACTATAGTTTTACAAACAATATTAAGAAAGTACTTAAATGATGTAATTTTTAACGTAATTTTCAGTTTGGTGCCAATGTTTAAATTTCAGCTCATACATTTTTAATGAGTTCGTCAAAGATGGGGAAGAAGGTTCTGAAGAGTGTCATATGCCACAAACAATGTTCAACATGCAATTGGTGGAGACGTCATCGCCCTGGTCAGCAAATACGACAACACCGATGTGTACGAAACCACTTTGGAAGTGCCCGTTCCATGGAGAGAAAGCTGTACTGGCTTTAGCAAAAGCAGGTACACCAGTTGAAATTCTTGAAAGTGATGGCGTCAACACGTTATTTGCCAGACTTAAAAGCAAGCACAATATCAGTTTGAAAAAGAAATATGATAAAAACCATATGATAAAAAATTTAGGCAAAAGCTTTTATGGTTTACAAAATGAGAAGGGAATCAAAATCAGTAAGATAACTATAAGCCATTTACAAAAGTGTGTGTCATATGCCCTTTCTAAGAACTGTGGGGACTTGCATGGATTACAAGAAAACCTTAAGGCAATTATTCCCCATAACTTTGGGGATCACCAGTTGTGTCAGCCAAGGTTTTGTGGTTATCTAAGGAATAAAGATGTATCCTATATCCACCGTTCTTTACCATACAAATCAAGTTTGACTGGTGAGATGTTAAAGCAACGGTTAGACGACATTATGAAACCTTTTATTGCCAAAGCCAGCCAACTAGTGAACCTAGGGTCAAGCCAGCAATGTGAACACGCCAACCGAGAAGTGTCCTTAAAGGCTCCAAAGAACATTTACTATGGAGAGAGTGAGGCATTAGATGTTCGAGTTCAAGCAACTGCAGCATTTATAAACGAAGGAAGAAACTACATAGTAGAGGTATAAACAGTTAGAAAGTTGTTCAAATGTTTGTTATGCTTTGAAATGAGTTTGTTTTACAATTTTCAGTAAATCTTACCTTGGCAAACGTTTAATAGAATTATATTCATTTTTGAAATATGCAATTATTTTATAAACAGTCATCCTTTTACTTCAGTTTTCTTTGATTGCCAAGCTAAGAATTTATCCAACTTGTTAAAGTTTCTTTATCAAAGAAGTTATAGACTACAGTAACTGAGGAACATTTTTGTGAACTGTCTTGTAATGTTTTGATTTATGGTCCAAGTGCTGTAATCTATAAGTTATGTGTATTTCAACTCTTTTACAGTTTCATTGTTCTTTTGATTTTCAGTTACAATGTTTTGCAGTTTAGTTTCAATGTTTGATTTTCTACACCAGCTACAAGTAAGTGCATAAATATCAATCTTTAAGATGAAGTAAAGTTTTTTTTTGTTTTTTATTTTATCTTACAATTTCAATATTCACATTTTGCAATTTAGCATATTTACATTTTGCATTTATACCATCAACAAGATTTGTCTTTCAATTAATTCTATGACTATCTATGTGTACACTTTAATCTTTCATAATATTTATATATCTTATTTTTTGTCTTTTAACAATTTCCTTCATGATTTATGTTGCTGTATGTTTTGTAAATAAGTTTAGCAATGAAAATGCATACGTTTTTAAAATTCTTCACAGGTAAACAAACAAGCTGATTTGTCACCTGGTCACTACACACAAAAGTATGCACAGCATTGTGCCATCAAACGCCAGAAATGTCAGGAAACCTTTGCTAAGCCATCAACAAAGGGAAGGCGCCTGTTTTTGAAAAAAGAGCGTGCTGTCAACCAGTCAGCTACAGAGTCACTCGAAGGGGCAACATATCAGTCAGGTTAGTTTCCAGTCATCTTGATATACCTGTGTTTTCAGTAAAACAAATTGTAATGACTGTATATATCCATGTGTTTGTTTCAACGTGGCTCTCATTTTTTTATTGTGACATGATATGTTTATAAACAACTGCTCTTTGTTGTTATTCCATTTCTTTTAATTTTTTTGGTTTACATTTGTACAGAAGTTGGCCACACAGCTGACATAGACAAAATCCCCGATCCTATACCACGTGGAGTGTTCAAGCCAGTTTGTTCAAGTGGCGAACCCTTTTATATCACTGTGGATCTTGAAACAACAGACCTTAGTAAGTACTTTTCATGTAGACATAACTTGCCTTTTTTATTACTCCTCTGCATGTTTACAGATTTAAAATGATGATCCGATACAACATTTATAAATCAAAAAGTGCTTTATGAAGGTATAATTATTATATAGAGGATATTTGGGGTTTTTAGCATGTAAGATTAAGATATTGTCACTGAGTGAAACCCAGATACATTTATTATATATAAAATATTATAGCTGGTATTCACCAGAGTTAAATATATTTCAATATATCGTACAAAACAAAATCTATTTTTTTCAAATTAGTCAATTCTTGCTGATTTTGCCGCGTAAAGTCACATCATAATGTCAAAGTATAAATGTTGAAACATAGCTCTGTAAATTTTAAATTCTGTATGCAGATATTTACTTGCTTCTAAGAAACAAATTTTACATTGAGCGGAATTTATTCCACATAGATATTTACACCGACATTCGAATATAGTCTGTTTACAGTGAAAAATATATTTTATAATTTCACTGTGAAAATTATCTAATATAATTTCATTTTCCACTGCATGTTATAAATCATTTTAATACTATTGTCTTGTATAACTTTTATTCATTTTTTACTCCAGTACCATTTTTATTTTCCAGTTCGAGGAGATGTTTACCCCCATATTACACAGATAGCAGCCAAACATGTTGGTTCCGAGAAGAGCTTCAACTGCTATGTGCTACCAAAAACTACCTATGAGCGCATCAGCAGAGCGAGTGACTAAAATTATTGTAACAAATAGTACAGATATGTGCGTAGATGGTGTTCCTGTGGAAACAAAAACTATACAAACAGCTCTCAGAGATTCCCTAATTCAGAAAACTTTTGCACGGGAAAAAGTTACCTTTCTAGCATGTAATTCGAACAAAGCTTTTTTTACTAACGGTATTGTTAAACATTATACTATGTGGACCTGTGACGAAGTTTGTAGAGCACTCTCTTTTCTTTTAGACAACATTTATGTCAGGTTTGGTAATACCCTATTTAAACAGATCATAGGAATTCCTATGGGTACTAATTGTGCACCCCTGGTCGCCGATTTGTTTTTGTACTGCTATGAAAGAGACTTTATGTTGAGTCTCTCTGAAGAGAAACAACAAGATGTTATAGTCGCATTTAATAATACTTCCAGATATCTTGATGATATTTTTAATTTAGATAATTCTTATTTTGATCAAATGGTGTCTGACATTTATCCGCATGAACTACAACTTAATAAAACGAACTCTTGAAATTTTAGTACATCATTTTTGGATCTTCATATTACTATCAACAATTATTCTATTCACACGAAAATTTATGATAAAAGAGATGACTTTGACTTTTGTATAGTTAATTATCCACATTTGGATGGAGACGTACCCCATGCAACATCCTACGGGGTTTATGTTTCTCAGTTAATTAGATTCGCTAGAGCTTGTAACAACGTAAAGGATTTCAACGAGCGGAATATTTTTATTACCAGCAAGCTTCTAAAACAGGGCTACCGCTATCATAAATTACGGAAATATTTTACTAAATTTTACAATCGTAACTTTGATTTAATTTCTAAATTCAATAGTGATTTAAAAACTCTTCTGCGACAAGGGATTAGCCAGCCTGGTTTTTATGGCGATGTGGTTTACAAACTTCGTAAGATTTTATGGTAATTTTTCTGCTGTTTTTACTAAAATCATTAAACGTTTTATTAAAAGAGGTTATGACCCTACTATTTAAAGACATACTGCATGATGAGTGTTTAACTCTTTTACTGTTGTACACTACGCTTCCCTCTTTTGATTACATTTGACGGACCAAGTGGTAGACTCTATGAAGCCCTTTGGGACTGAATTGTCTGAATATTCGTCTTCTGCCTTGCTTCGTCAGGCCCTTGTAGGTGATTTTCTTGTTGCTCTGTCTTCCTTTAGGACATTGAGTACTTTTGTTATGGTCATTGGGTTTACTTTTATATGTTTCTACATGATCATTTTAGTGTTTTAGTGTAGAGTACCGCTCAAGCCGGTGCTAGGGGGCGTGAGGGATGTTGCACATTTCCATTATCCCTCATGTACAGACTCAATCAAACCGAGTCTGCAATTCTCTTGTAATTTTGTTGTGATTAATGCTTCCGAGGGATCACTTTGTTTCCAGAATTTTTATACTTCACAACAGCAGGTGTCAAGTGCTGTGTGGCAGCTGTAAAAAGTTGCCCCGTACTTCACTTCAGTGTTGTTATATTTTCTGGTCCTTCGGGATCATTGATGCCAGCACTATTAAGTGTTGAGAATTGAGTACCGCTCAAGCCGGTGCTAGGGGGCGTGAGGGATGTTGCACATTTCCATTATCCCTCATGTACAGACTCAATCAAACCGAGTCTGCAATTCTCTTGTAATTTTGTTGTGATTAATGCTTCCGAGGGATCACTTTGTTTCCAGATTTTTATACTTCACAACAGCAGGTGTTAAGTGCTGTGTGGCAGCTGTAAAAAGTTGCCCCGTACTTCACTTCAGTGTTGTTATATTTTTCTGGTCCTTCGGGATCATTGATGCCAGCACTATTAAGTGTTGAAGATTAAGTACCGCTCAAGCCGGTGCTAGGGGACGTGAGGGATGTTGCACTTAAACGTACAGTATCCCTCATGTACATACTAAATCTAACCGAGTCTGCAATTCTCTTGTAATTTTGTTGTGATTAATGCTTCCGAGGGATCACTTTGTTTCCAGAATTTTTATACTTCACAACAGCAGGTGTTAAGTGCTGTGTGGCAGCTGTAAAAAGTTGCCCCGTACTTCACTTCAGTGTTGTTATATTTTCTGGTCCTTCGGGATCATTGATGCCAGCACTATTAAGTGTTGAGAATTGAGTACCGCTCAAGCCGGTGCTAAGGGGCGTGAGGGATGTTGCACATTTCCATTATCCCTCATGTACAGACTCAATCAAACCGAGTCTGCAATTCTCTTGTAATTTTGTTGTGATTAATGCTTCCGAGGGATCACTTTGTTTCCAGAATTTTTTTACTTATTTAACCTTTTGTAACCATGACAACTGTTAGAATTTCACTTGGCGGGGATTCATTTTATTTACACTGTCTCGTTTATAGGAACATGGTGGGGCTAAGAGCGAGGTTTGGTGCACCATTAACCGGTTTAAACTCCCCAGCAGTCATTATTATGCTGCTGACCGTTCCAAGGCGGCGCCCCACTGTGTTCCTCAGATGTATGTCTATGTTGTTTCATACTGTTTTGGTGACACTTTTGCTTGTGTCCCTTGTTGTTTTCTCGTCTACGGTAAGTATCTTCCTCATTGCCTCTAGTTTTTATTTCTTTGATTAACCCCCCCCCCCCCTTCCCCCGGTCTCCTTTCCCCTACCCCTTTGTGGGCCTATTATTATTTTCTTTGAATTCCTGGTCAGTTACAAATTATTTATCATTTAATGATTAACGTGTCGTTGCCCTGTCCTTTTTATGTTTGGGGTCCGCCGGGGCTCCTTGCCATTGGTTCTTGTTGCTGGGTCATATGGGGGTTGCGTTCACTGAACGCCGCCTTTCCTTGTTGATCTTGTATTTCATATTTTCTTATCTGGCTGAATCAGTTTCGCTATGTTTTTCTGATTGCTCATAATGGAAAACGCTTTGACTTCCCAATCGTCGTCGTAAATGCCTGTCAAGCTAGTGGAATGTTTAATGAGTTTTGTTCATGTGTGTTGGGATTGGTAGACAGCCTTCATGTGTTTAAATCTATCTCTCCTAAACGTGTGTCTTACAAGCAGGAGGGCCTAGCCCAAGGTGTATAACGCTCATAACGCACTGTGTGATGTTGATTGTTTGTCCGAGCTGGTCATTTATGCTTTGAAACAGGATGATAAGTGTATTACAGTCAAGAGTTTCTCTCCTAGTGATGTGAAATACAATATGGATTCAAACAAAGAGAAACATAAAAACTTGCCATCCTTGTCTATTTTGATTGCAAGTGGCGTCATGAAATATTCAACTGCAGATAATGTTGCAAGTTCGGGGTTAAACTTTAAACATTTACATACAATTTTTCAACGTAAGGGAGAGGATGGACTGTATAATGTGTTTACTATGAAAAATAGTGAAGGGTTGCCAAGAGTGACCAATTCTAAGAGAGTTTTGGAATCCGTTATTCCAAAGTTAGTGTCATACTTCGATGGCAAATGATAATTCATGTATGATAATTCTGGATAATTTTTATCCTAACTCTTCTTATGTAATAACTGAAAACTAAGTTTTCTTCATTTATTTGTAAAACATTATTCATTTGATTTATTTGTATAGCAAGAATCAAATGCAAATTGTATGTTTAACAGTTGTTCAAGACATTTTAAGCATTTTTCATGAAAATATGGCTATCAAAATTCAAGGGGGTCATCTTGTTTATGTTCTTTGTCTAAAAGAAACTAGACGGTAAAAGTTTCTGATTTTAACATATGTTATTGCTCTCACATTCAGGAAAATTTTGGTGCCAAATTTGCATAGTAACAGGCACTTTCATGAGAAAATTTTGAACTTTGAAAAAATAAGGCAAAATAACAAAATTCTGAAATGCGACTTTTTGATCCAAATCCGTTTCACATTTTTGGTAATATTTTCTTAAACCCCCAACATCCGATCAGACTATCGGATGCAAATTAACCCTCTCTCTACATTGTTTTATCAGTGATAGACGTCCAGCAAAGGCTGACTAAGTGTACTGATTCTAAAAATAGCTAAAGCAGACGATGGGTTTTTACACACAAAAAAAATTACCTTTTAACTGACTTGTCTCAGAGAGACATCAAAAGCTTACCTAATTTCTGACCACCAGTTGCAGATTTCCTGTTAGTTTATCCCTTGATGTCAAACAGTCACATATATCTATTCTTGCCTTTTTTTGGTTTTGAACCTTATTACAACATAGTATGATTTCTGATATAATTTTATACCTCAGGTATATTTTAATAAGAAAGTGTATTGCTATGCTGCTATCAGTAGAGATAAAACAAAATATCACATTTCTGTGTTTAATTGGCATATAACACTACAATATAAAAGGGGTGACAGGGCTTGTAAGGTCTTGTTTTTGATTTATTATTCAATAAGTACAGAGTTTATGAGACAAGCAATGTGATAAGTTGTTTTCTTATTTCAAAGTTGATTATGTAACAGTTCAGTTACTAACATAATAAGATTTAACAATAAATGGGACTACACATTTATACCTTCCATACCTTAAATATTTTGCATCTTCTACATTTAGGTTACCTTTGTCTGAAATTAGTTTAGGAGGGATTTTTTTTGTACAAGGAAAATAGTGCTTTTGTTTGGTGCTTTTATTGATTTGTATTATTAAATATAAATGGATAAGTTGTTTTGTCGTTGTTACTTAAAGGAATAGAAACATACCTGTGAACCTCTGTTTAACCACACTAATTGGAATTGGTAAAAGTGATTCACCAATATTAGAGGAAAAAATGAGGTCATAGATCACATGTCAAATAAAACTGGAAATATAAATGGTGCCATCAAAGAGATAGCTGACTATATAGCATATTACAAGACAAAGTGCGGATGAAACTAATGTATTTGATTTTGGTGTTAATGATTCATGTGAATACATGTAATGTTTTTGTTCCTTGTGTGTAAATGTGAAAGAATAGTCCTGAAGAGGAAAAGGTCAAGGCAAAAAACCTACATATAAAATTTCAATAAAAATCAGATACAAAACGTTTTGTTCAATTATGTAAAGAGGCA